CATAAATTTCTTGGAGGTTGCGCTTCAAATCACCTGATATTTTGCAAGGACTTGTTGCGGTTGACTTATCAACTGTTGAGGGTGTAAAACTTTCGTCTGTCTGTGAGATCACATCCTAATTTAAAAAAAATGTTTGATTCCTAAAAAAAATAACTAATATAATTAAAAGTTTATAAAATAAAATGAAAAACCTTTTGAACAGGCTGTACAACATCATCGGATTCCAAAGCAACTTGATTTAAGGCGACAGATTGATTACTCTAAAAAATAAAATGGAAATATGTTAATCGTTATGTACTTTAACATTAAAGAATTGTAAATTTTCAACAATAAAAAATTACATACCATAAGTTCTATTTTACTTTCCAATTCACAAACAATGGACATATTTTCTGTAACTCTGAGAACTGTGTAGATGTTATTATAGTTGTTGACATTGTATTCTGTAATATCTACAACAAAACCAAACTTGCGGTTTTTCAACACATTAAGTTGCATTGGAAATAGGGCATCACTGTCTCCGGCCTGTAAGATATATTTTAATAAATTAAAAAAATTAAGTAAATGTTTTCTGATTTTAAAGGTATGAATAATATACCGCATCATGTATCTTTTTCAACTCGTAGGCACTTATATTTAACAACCTCCTTGCTTCCCTATCAAAAAGAGTCAATCCAATGGTTCCAGTACAATCTTGTACGTTAATTGGAATTATATACCTAAAACAAAAATAATTATGTCATTGTTAGTGTTGTTTTAAGATTGACAAAATTAATAGAAATAAATATGTCTATACTTTATAACTGACTGAAATTCAGATTTTTTGCATTGTGCATTTGTACACTCGACAACCATAGTTTCGGAAATTCCCTCAGGGTTGGTATACGAATGATTGGTTTTGGGAACAGGGATAACTTTTTTTCCACATTTTTTGCATGCTTCATAATACCATGGTAGATTCTGCCTTATATTAACAATGGAAGCAACTAATAAAAACTTCATTTCCTGTATCATATAAAATGTAAAAATTATTAAAATAAATTATGCAAAAATAAAATGTAAAACATATAAAATAATGCAATATACCTTAATTGGTTCGGTGATCTCACAGATTGTTTTTAATGGAAAATTGCCCTTAAAGTCATCTGTATATGAAGAAGAGTAGCTTTGAAGTGTAGTTATGCTTTTTTCAGTTATACCGAAATTGTCATGACATTTCAACCTGTAATGTTTAATTTAGATTCATGAATATTAGGTTTGTGTTTTTTTTAAGTTAAAATACATTATAAAAAAATAAAAAACAATTGGAAACTAACTTATTTTTAAACTCATTTATTTCATAAATGTCAGAATTTATGAACAATTTCGTTACTTCAAAATGACTTTTAGCTTCACCAAGACCTGTAAAAAATGTATATCCAATTATTAAAATTTATATAAAAACAGTAATTATAAACATCTATATATAAAGACTGAATACAAACCATTCCAAATGTTTAGCTTCAAAAACTGCATCACGATAACAACAAAATTAACAGTCGGGTTATTTTTTAGGTATTCTGAAATTTGATATGCTTGACTTCCAAAAATAGTAACCTTCAGATGTACAGAACTAAATAAACCATAAAATAGTATATTAATATTAATTTGTGATTAATTAAAGATAATAAATAATAAATAAATAATACAATATAATCTCACGCTAAGAGTGACTTTTATATAATGCTTGGATGGTACTGGATTTGAAGTTTCAAGAGGCCTAAATGACACGATATGTCCAATAACATCTACACAACAGATACCACAAAAAAAATAAAAGTTTAGGATTAAATTCGTAATATTTAAATAATAAAATGTATAACCAAAAAAACAAATGATAAAAAATGATTTTATTAATATTTTATGACTAACCAAAGAATGTGTCTTTTGGGCATGTTTGTTCTATGATAGAATTAAAGTCAACAAACATAAATCCATTGACCGGACGCGAGAAATCATCACATTTTTTTAGGATGCTTTTCCAATCCAAAGTTAAGGTCTGTTTATGACCTGTATAACTAAAACCATTAGTAACAGCAGCCATATTGGGTTTTATAACTATATAACTTTCATCTTCCTTTAAAAGATGACGAAATCTGGAGAAATTCTGATTGAAGACACGAGCTTGGTATTGTGTACCCTGTTTAAAAAAAAATTAAAAATTATTATGTTCATGAAACATGTCTAATATTGAATGATGAATAAAAAATATATCAAATACAACAAACCTCCTCATCCATGATGATCATTTCAATGGAACAAACTTTATTATTTCTGACAAAGTTCCAAATTTTAAGCACCCGAACCTTGATATGCGATTTTTCATCTATCTGGTCAATGTTATTTAGGTAAACCTTATTTCCTATTTCCATTTTCTGCAATAAATTTAATCATTATAGAATTGTAAGGAAAATTAGCAACCTTTTAAATTAACAGCAAATCAAAGTAAATGAAACAGCAAAACAAAAAAAACATATTGTAATAGTTAAAGCTTTGAGGTTGTATGGATTGGGGTTAAAGATGTTCGCATATTGGAGTCAAATGCAGTTCACGTGTAAAAGCAAAAATGTTCGCATTTGGTAATACAAATCAAAATTGGGTTTCGCATATGAGGTTGTATGGATTGGGGTTAAAGATGCGAAGGTGATTATGGTTAATATTCATTTCGTATTTGGTGAGACAAACAACTCAAATGCGAATGAACTAAAAAAAAATGACTGGAACATGCGAAGAAAGAGGGTGAATGAAGAATGTGAATTTTACAGTAGAATGCGAATTGGGGAAGAAAGCTAAGAATTTCGCATTTTTATTATACAAATTGATTGATTGATTGATTTGTCTTAATTGTTAATTGCGATATATGAAATACTTATCAAGTTAGGGGCAATATGGTCATTTTGAAGTAAAAGAAGCCTTGTTATTAAATGAATCATACGAAGGATCTGTTATTTGATTTTGGAATTGGGGCGAAAATTAGCAACCTTTTAAATTAACAGCAAATCAAAGTAAATGAAACAGAAAACAAAAAAACATATTGTAATAGTTAAAGCTTTGAAGAACAGTTTTTTTTAAAGAAAATAAAGTTCTCATTTTTATTACTAATTTCGTATTTTGTAATCATTTTCATTAACATTTACGTCTTTTAAACTGAAAAGGTAGAAGAAGAACATGATTAAGAAGAATTAGCAAAAGGAAGAAGAAGAACATCACTAATAAAATGAAAAATGATAGAAACTGGTAAATCAGACAATTAAGAGGTTAGAAATATTAGTAATGCTGATATTTTAATACACTAACCTGATATTATAATTTTTGAAGCGTTGCAGAATCAAGAAGAATGAAGAAGAATACGTTTGCAAATATTACTATGGAGCAGAATTCGTCTGGAGCAGAATGGTAAAAAGAAAATAACCGTATGAATGCTATTTACGTTTGAATAAATAAGAATAAGAATTAAGAAGATTACGTTTGAAAAAGATAAATATTGCAGATTTTTAGGGATTTAATTTGCAATCAAAATAAACAAACTTTCAAAATTAATGCGTGTTTTTCGAATCTGAAGATTGATTAACATATTTGTTTGCAGATTTTTCCGGAATTATTGATTTTGGATTGTATGGCATTTACGTAAATATAGATGAATAAAATGAGCGGGAAAACTCTATTTTGGAGGTCTTTTAGATTGACACGTGGCAGAGTTCTACTTATTTATTAGAATTAGGATATATATATATATATATATATATATATATATATATATATATATATATATATATACATACTAACTTATAATTTTTTTTTACTATTTCTATAAATATAATTAATATAATAATAATATTTTTTAAGACGTTCAAGTCTTTAAATTTAAAATACAACCAACTATTAATATAATAATATTATAATATATATATCTTACAAATGATAATGCTAGGGATACAAGTATTAAAAACACATTTAAATTAATATTTCCTTATTTTTAGGGATTGAATTAGTATTTTCATCAATTTTGACCCAACTTATACTCCTAAAATATCTCTTCTCTGGTATCTGGTGCATTCGAAATCTAAAACACTTCTTTTTGATAAATCGTTTGAAATTTAAAAGCTCATTCAAATTGGAGTTCCCTAATTTTTTGCATAAAATATAGTTGACTGGAAACTAATTCAAATCTTCATCTCCTTTTCCTCCATGGAATTCACCACCACAATACTTTTTGGTTTTGGTATTGCACTTTTTATTTTTCTGAAACCGATCGATAATGGTGCAAGTGTTCTTAGAAATATAATATGTCTCCGAATGGAACTAATTGTTTGAAAGAAACTATTCGCCGCCGCCGTTTTGCGCGGGCAAATGGCTAGTGTGTGTATATATATATATATATATATATATATATATATATATATATATAATATATATATATATATATATATATATATATATATATATGAAGCTTATGAATAGTTAAGTTGCATTCTTTTTGTCTGTTGTGACCCCTCTACTTTGATTCGTTGTACATCCTTATGGGCCCCCAATTTGCTGTAGATCTGAATTGGTCCACTTCTTTATTGAAATTGAAATTTGGTCCTTGTTGATATATCAAATATTATTTTTAATAAAACCGTATAATACAGAGGTTTCACACCTAGTTATATATAATATGATTACCATGGTTCAAAAAAGCACGTCATGGCACGTCTCATGGTGCGAGGCGTGACCTAGCCATTACAAAAATGTCAAATGCAGGTTTATTAAGCATGACGCTCAAATAATGTGTCAAGATGCACTTTATCACTTAACGATACGAGTTTTTTTTCAAGGCGCAAGTTTTTTTTTCCTGATCGGTCCTAAATAATTGAGTTTTTAATAATTTTTTTATATTAGATATTATTATAACACTTTTGAAAACTTGATATATTTGATAAAATTCAATAATTATATGATATAATTTTTTTTTTATTAGGCTTCCATTTATTTAGAATGGTGGGATTATGAAAAATTTGATTTATGGGATTTATTAAAAAAAAAAGATGTATATTGTAGAGCGAAGTAGTTGAATTTTGTTACAGCTTGGATCATGGTTCTTCATTTGACTTCGTGAAGCACAACTTCTATCGCAGATCTGTTGTGTTGTCTGTCAGAACAGAAATTGCAAACATATAGCTAAAAGTAACGAATGGCTACTCTTTTTCCTCTTCCCCTTCTACTGATTTCATTTTTGTTTATCGTATCCCGATCCTCAAGCTCCGCCATCGTCAATCCGTCTAAAGTCAAACAAGTTTCATGGAAACCCAGGTCAGTTTGATTTGATTACTTTCCCCAAGTTATTTGCACGCATCTTTGAGCTTTTTCGTTAAATTCAGAATCACCGGCTCAATTTATTTATTTTTGTTTCGTGATTTGATTTATGCAGGGCTTTCGTGTACGAGGGTTTTCTTACAGAAGAAGAATGCGATCACATGGTTTCCCTTGTGAGTGGCACTTGATTTCCTTTCTAGATTCAATTGCAACTTAGATTTGGCCATTAACGTAGCTCGAATTGAAACTAATAAGACAGAAAAACACAAACAGTTTGTTATTGATTACTTGTTTCTTCCGATTGATTTGTTATAGGAAAGATTATAGATGTTTGTGATTGCTATTACTCATTACAAGAACAGATAAGGGAGTAATTGAACTGAATTTGAGATTTTTGGGGATTGTTATGTAACAGGCCAAAACTGAGTTGAAGAGATCTGCAGTTGCAGATAATGTTTCTGGTAAGAGTAAGCTTAGTGACGTTCGAACAAGTTCTGGAATGTTTATCCACAAAAACAAGGTACTTCTATGAATCTTTTATACTTCTATTGCCAATTGATTCTCATTTTGAAACAACATTGGGATTTTAGTGAACATATGATCACCATTTACCACATGTGAATGTAAACAAGTGGTTTGTATTCAAATCATTATATATATCTTCATAAAAAGGGAAACTAATCATTTTTTTTTGGGGTGAACAAAGTATTGTAGAGGGTAAAATTCCTAAATTCTTGGTGTTTTAATTAGTGATTTGAGTATTCATAATGGGATTGAGAATATTGTTAGAGCACCAACATATAATGCAATGTTCTTATTAGTCTCTGGATTTACATTTATTGTTATATTGTTTCCAGTGTTTTAGTCTTAGCCAATTAGGTCTTTGTATTAAGGATTAAATGTTAATTTATGCAACAATATTTCACATTCTTCCCAATGTATGCAACAAAGTGTTTTTTTAATGAAAAAAAAACGTTAAAACGTTTCATTTTAGGACAAATAGATGCAATATTTTACTGGTAACCTACTTAACCATTTAAAACATTGCAGCATAATTCCTTTAGGTTGCTAAATTGGTAAAAATGTGAAGCCTTGTTTCATAAATTGGTAAATAAAATTGAAACGTTGTTGCATAAATTGGTAAAAAGGTAAAATGTTGCATAATAGCATTTATAAAATGAAAGATTCTTGCATATATTTGTCTTAACATGAAATGGATTTTTGTCAAGAAACCATTTTGTTGCATAAATTTGTAAAACTATGAAACATTGTTGCTTAAATGTGCATTTCACCCTTGTATTATTAACTTGCTCAAACCAAATTGTACCTTATACCATATGATTTTCACTTTCAGTAATATATTAATACAACTTTAGTTTAACTTTTTTCAATAAAATAGTAGATCCTTATATTATTATATCATTGATTTTTAATAAGAATTAAAGAGAAGACTTTTTCTAAACCTAACCTTTCATGATTAGAATGTAATAACAACTGAGAAATGAGGTTTAACAAGTAACAACTGGTGAGGATTGAGAACATTGCTGGAATACTTTTTCAAATTATAGAATTTTGATAAAACTAATTTGGCTAAAGAAATATGGCCAAATTCTCCTATGAATGCTTATGAGGCGAAGAAAATACAGTTTGGGTGAATTACAGAAATATCCCTTATTTACATAGTTATATATATATGTATGTCTAACTAAAGGCAAGGGTATGATGGGAATTACAAATATATTCTTGCCCTTTTAAATCCCGTTTGCACTTGATGTAGGATCCAATTGTTGCTGGCATAGAAGATAAAATTGCAACTTGGACCTTCCTACCAAAAGGTATGTTCCATTATGGGTGACACTTTATAATAAAGTTGAGGAGGGCATTCATGTCTTTTGCACACACAAGAGATGAGAGCAAATCCCTATCAGATCTTGCTCCATCTCACTTTTCTTGGCAGGACAAAAAAGTTGCAACTTTTGTCCCATTTACATCTTTCCTAGTCCTAATCTAATGCAAATCCCAAATGCATTGTTTATTTTCAAATTTATATGTAAATTTTAATTTTCGTATTTTTTTTTTCTTCAGAAAATGGAGAGGATATGCAAGTGTTAAGATATGAGCATGGCCAAAAGTATGACCCACATTTCGATTACTTCACTGACCCTGTAAATGTTGCACACGGTGGACACCGTATAGCAACCGTACTCATGTATCTTAGTGATGTTGAAGAAGGCGGTGAAACGGTTTTCCCATCTGCAGAGGTTAGTCCTTTTTTTTTTTTTTTTTTTTTAATTCTTATTGTGGAAAAACTTATATTAGGCTTCATTTGCCACATAGGACAGATTGTACTGCTTTTGACATACATTGGACTGGTACTGTGCAACCGATGTCAATGGAACAAAAATTACAATTTTTTGTCCCACAGAAAAAGATGGGACATGGATTCGCACCCGATATCTTGTGTGTACAAAAGACTAAAATGCCCTCATCATCCTCATCATCGGAAATAGCCCAGGAAAGCTTGTCCAGTCTCATCCAGTCTTGTCAGGTGTAACAAAAGCACTGTGTTTGTTATATAGAACATCACTAGATAGGATGGGACTGGACAAGGTTTCAGGGTTATTTCTGATGATGAGGATGAGGAAGGCATTTTAGTCTTTTGTACACACGAGATATCGGGTGCGAATCCATGTCCCATCTTTTTCGGTGGGACAAAAATTGTAATTTTTGTTCCATTGACATCAGTTGCACAGTACTAGTCCAATGTATGTCAAACGCAGTACAATCTGTTTTGTCTTGTCCTACGTGACAAATGAAGCCTATCATAAGTTTTTTCCACGATAAAAAGTGAAAAAAAAAATTGTCCCATTGGCATCGATTCTAGTGTGTTGAATGTCAAACGCAGTACAACCTGTCATGTCATGTTTCAGCTGATAAAATTTAAAATCTTGACAGGAGGCTTCTCGTCACAAAACAACAAAACCAAATGACAATTTATCCGAATGTGCAAAGAAAGGAATCGCAGGTGAGCATATTATAATTATACCTTCTTTAATCTCCACTATGAAATCGAAATCTAAATTATTTTTTAAAAAAACCAAACAGTAAAACCCAAAAAAGGAGACGCGCTGCTGTTCTTCAGCCTCTACCCGACAGCCATCCCGGATGCCACCAGCTTCCATGGCGGCTGCCCGGTGCTCAAAGGGGAAAAATGGTCAGCCACGAAATGGATCCATGTTGACTCATTTGACAAGATTATTGATACTGGTGGAAATTGTAAAGATGCGAATGAAAACTGTGAGAGATGGGCTGCATTGGGAGAGTGCACTAAGAACAAAGAGTATATGGTTGGAACTCCTGAACTTCCTGGTTATTGCCGAAGAAGCTGCAAGCTTTGTTAACTTTTTTTTTTTTCCCACTGTATCTTGTAATTTTTGCTCTTAAATTTCTGATATATATACCTTTTTTTTTTTTTTTTTTTTTAATTTTTTTTTTTATTTTGGTTGTGTTTTATTGCGGAGGGATGATCATTTTATGACTAAAAAGATGCGTATGAGGTCTTATGTGAGGTACATCACTTTTGTTATAAATTTAACAGATGTATTTTTTTTCATATGGGTAGTATACATTATTTGTTATATATTGTTATTAACGATAGAGAAATTGAAGTACTTTGTATGTTATGTCGATATTACGGGTTATATATTGCTGTTTTTCGATATAAGAAATTATGTAGTTATTGGGGAAATGTTGTAAAAGTCGTTTGGCGTTACTAGCTCGGTTGACTAAGAGTAGTGAGTATATTCGGGTATTCGGCGTAGGGAAGGAATTACTTTTATATAGTAAATTATAAATAAATAAAGAAATTTTAAGGAAATTGTACATATAACAAGTATCAGAAGTTCATTTAATCCTTAGTGTTTATTATTATTATTATTATTATTATTTATCCCATCGAATTAGTTGAACAATTTTAATAAATAACTAAATATATAATATATGTTAAATTAATTACTTAATAATTACGATTTAAAAAAAAAAAAAACAAAATTATCAAATTTGATCAAGTTAGAATCGATAAACCGAGTTGAACCAATATGCTCCAGTTTGACCATTTTGACCCGAGTTTGATCAACTCCGATTGTTTTGATGGTATTTTAAGAAAATCATTATGTTGCAAGTCTGAGTTAACCGACTTTTACAATACTGATTATTGTTAAAGAAACACAAGTACTTTACTCTCTCTCTCTCTCTCTCTATATATATATATATATATATATATATATATATATATATATATATATATATATACACACACACACACGCCGTTTGCCCGCCCAAAGTGGCGGCGACGAATAGTTTCTTTCAAACAATTAGTTCCATTCGGAGACATGTTATATTTCTAAGAACACTTGAACCATTATCGATCGGTTTCACAAAAATAAAAAGTGCAATGCCAAAACCAAAAAATATTGTGGTGGTAGATTCCATGGAGGAAAAGGAAATGAAGATTTGAATTAGTCTCCAGTCAACTATATTTTATGCAAAAAATTAGGAAACTCCAATTTGAATGAGCTTTTAAATTTCAAACGATTTGTCGAAAATTGATGAAAATACTAATTTAATCCTTAAAAATAAGGAAATACTAATTTAAATGTGTTTTTTAATACTTGTATGCCTAGCATTATCATTTGTAAGATATATATATATAGATATATATATATATATATATATATATATATATATATATTATAATATTATTATATTAATAGTTGGTTGTACTTTAAATTTAAAGATTTAAACGTCTTAAAAAAATATTATTATTATATTGATTCTATTTATAAAAATAGTAAGATTTCTTTTATAAGGTAGTACGTGTGTGTATATATATATATATATATATATATATATATATAATAATAATAATAATAATAATAATAATAATAATAATAATAATAATAATAATTTAATACAGTCCATTTGCAGTTTAATACACAAAATTCACAACTTAATACAATGTATTTTACAATAATTCAAAAATTCAAAAAAATCAAATTCAAACTCTACCATCACCACCCATTACAACACGCTGCCACCAACCACGTGTGACACCGTTGCAACCATCATTCATTCCAAGTTGTGTGTATATAAAATCAAGCATTGACAGATTAATTACTACATTCATAGTTTAATAAATATATTAATTCACTTATTTAGAGTTTAATGCAAAACAACTATAAAACAACTACATTCTTACATATTTATACTACACAAAAAATAAATATATTTACAAGAAAATTAATACAAAATTCATACATAAATAATTTGTATTTTAACACAAAATTTATAATAAATTTGCAGCTTAATACAATTTACTGTTTCATACAATTAGTTCACAACTCAATAAAGTTAATTCAGATCTTAATACAATGAATTCACAATTTAATATACAAACTCCACCATTTAATATAATAAATTCACAATTTTATACACAAAATTCATATTTTAAAACATGTATTATACACAATTTAATAAAGTAAATTCACAGTTTAATTTAGTCTTTTCATAGCTTAATTTAGTCTATTTACAACTTCTTTTTCAACCAACAACATCGTAGAAGATAGAAGTAAAAGTATACAATATTATTTGGATAGTTAATTCATTTGTTCGCAATTTAACACAAAAAAATATATAAAAACTCACAATTTAATATAGTCAATTCACAGTTTCAATTCAGTCTATTTATAGTTTAATTTACAAGATTCACAACTTAATATACAAAAGTCACAACTTAACACAATATTTCATAGTTTTGCTTCTTCCTAACATCATCAAATACGAAACTCTTACCATGCTACAATAGTCATATATGGATTAAACAAAAAAACCACAGCTTAATATACTAGTTTTTTACAATTCAAAGTTTAAAATATTAGTTCACACACTCATTCACAGCTTAAAAGATTGTAACGACCAAAATTTTCAACAAAATTTAAACTTTTCAAAAACAACCCATTTTAATAATGTTATTACAAAAAGGTTTTCAATACATTTATTATCATCGTATTCCCAGAACCATAACATAAACCATAAACACGAGGAGCGGTACGATCATGCCTTCGCCTTGCCACGGTCTCCTGAAGAACCTGAAAAACATTAAACCACAACTGTAAGCCCGAAAGCTTAGTGAGATACCCCCAAAATATCAACCACATATACGCCCTTCCAGGCTACGACCTTCCGGTCCAAATCATAATGCCTTCTGGCCCATAACACAGTGTCTTCCGACCCATAACATAAATAGCATACATAACATAACAGAACATAGAACAGTCATGCATATCGGGTCTACAATGTGACTGGTCTGCCGTATCGGGCCTTCAGTCCACCGGGTCCACCCTCCGAGTCTAGTCATGTCCTTCGAGTCTGCAGTGTGGTTGGTCCGGCCGCACCGGGCCTTCAACCCACCTGGTCCACTCTCTGAGTCTACAATATGACTGGTCCGCCCACATCGGGCCTTCAGTCGGCCTGGTCCACTCTCCGAGCCTCGGCACGTCTGGTCCGCCCTCGTGGGGCCTACAACCTATCCGGACCGCTCTCTGGGCCTTCGGAACAACTGGTTTGTCCTGGGTATCTTGGCCTACAGCACAAAGCAGGACCGCCTCAACCCAACTCCAGTCCAAACAACCATGTGCACATAACATACAAGCATATAACAGTTCATAGTCAGCAAACCGATCAAGCAGATCACATAACAGATCATCATCCTAACCGGGATACCGACCTAACCGGTCACTAGCATAGCATCACCCTACATATCAAAGCAATAACATAACAACAAATACCCGAATCTCAATTTGATAAAGGGCCGACCTTGGTGCCTTAGACCCTATCGATATAGTGACGATAACTCACCTTGCACTGCCGAAACTCTGAAGTGAAGAGTAGATTCTCGAATCACCAACTCACCGCAAATCCCGAACTAGCCAGCATAACAAAATAAACATTAGGCCAAGCATACATCCACTTATCAAGCCAAGACCAAAGTCCAAGTCTTATACAAAGTCCAATATTGGCCCAATTTACCAAATTGGGCCCACCTCACCAAATGGGCCTAGATCCAATATCCATAACAATAATTGGGCCCAAAATACTCTATCCATAAATTCCCAGTCATGACCCATAAACCAACAACCCAAAAACAACCCAAACTCCAAGGCCCAACATGGAAGTCTACTTAGGGGGAGTACGCTGGGCATACCCTTCTTGGTACGTGGGGCGTACACTCTTATTCGCAATTGGGGATCGGGGCTCTGGCCCGCTACGCGGGGCGTACTCAGGTGTTACGCGAGGCGTAACACCGCTACTCATTAAGTTCTTATAACTTATTAATGGCTTAAGCTCTTAAGCCCAAACTTCAGTTCCTTAGGCCAAATATGCCTAAGATTCATAAAGTCTCAAACTTTATCACTTGGGACGTCCATAAGTTCTTAATCCAAGGTCTTAATCCATTAAGACCTATATATCTCACACATGGAACAACTACAGCCCTTGGGACCTCATTTTTCTCACTCAAGACCTCTCCAAAGGTCTGAAAGGACAGATAATCTCAGCCAACACAAAGCATGAATCAAGATGAGAACTTTGGGACAAGAAAGACGCTAAAAACTTCATAACACTTAGATCTATGCAAAATAAATGGCAAGCAAGAAGCTTTATACCTCAAACAAGCTCAAAAGGATGGTATCTCTTCAGATCTACAAGCTCCAATCGTTCCTCTTCTTCTTTGACAACTTCTCCTTTCTTCTTCTAGCCTTTCTTTTGCCAAAATGAGCTTTCCAAGGTCAAACACACCCAATAATGGAGGGAATACGGGTTTCTAGGGTTTCTGAGGTTAAGGATGAGCTTATGGAGGCTAGGGTATAAACCAACATGTTCCTTATATAGTGGTGGCTCTTAAATTAGGGTTTGGGGTTTCTGAGAGTACGCTGGGCGTACCTCTAGTACGCTAGGCGTACTCACCCGGCCACCCCACACCTTTCTTTCCCCATTACACTGGGCGTACCCAGCCAACTTCAAGCATGCATTCCATGCATGCATGGGACCTTTTCCACTTATTCCACAAAGAGCTATAAACAATAATCATCTTCAAAACGCTGCAACTCCTCTACTTTAAACCCACTCCCAAATAACTTTACATTCATATGAGGGTGACCAGAAGCCCAATGCTTCTAACAACATACGCTAGCCCGAAACCTTCTCGGATGAAACCCATTTCCCGAAAAAGGACCAGCATTATCCTTCCTCTTAAATCTCAGGGACTCATAATTAAACATTTTAAGAACGGGGTGTTACAATTCTCCCCCACTTAAATTAGGCTTCATCCTCGAAGCCTGCGACAACTCTTCTCCATAACTACCCCCGCAATGTACCGCCTGGCATTCACCGGGCCAGGTTCCTCAA